TGTGACGTCATATAGTTTGAAAAATAGAATCTGTCGACAGCGAACTTTTTTACTCATTTTTTGTTACCTTCAACTTCTCAGGTGTACATTAAACAAAAAAAACGAGACCAATTTTTTGAATATCATGCATGATTATTTAGCTCATAAACTCTAGTTTATTAATAAATGGTTTATTTTATTCGCAAACATATGTGTTTTCTGTTGTATGTGGAAAAGTGGAGGACGAAAGGTTTTCAAAATTCATTAAAATAGGGCGAATTTACGCCATCCACCTATTTATGCTATATATTTGCTATTACACAGCAACGCATATATTTATTTCACCTAAAATATCAAAAGATTCGTGTTTTATGATGCACCTACCCTATTGTTAATATATATACGATATCAGAGTTATTCGCCTTAAATATTTTGAGATATAGAGGCAAATGTGGAGGACGAAAAGATTTCCATATGTGTGCATTTTTCTCAAAAACGTCACATTCTGTGGTGTTAAAACGCGAAAATGTGTGACAATACCCTTATAAAAAATTCAACCTTGAAAGTCCGAATTTAAACCGTTGCACAATCATTGTACAATCATTGATCCGATCATTTATGCAACCATGCCAACCGTTACGATGCAACCATTACAATTTTGGTTGTAAACTCATGTTTCAATCATATGTAACCATTGTAAACGCTTGACAATTTTGGTTGCATTTCTTGCAACCGTTTCAATCGAATGCAACCCTTTATGGCAATCTTATCTCAATACAACATAAAATAATTATCGTGCTCTTTAAAAAATATATTTCAAATGTATGTATTTCATGCATACATGTCAGAATTTAAATGGTTTGATCAAAAAGATATTAAAAGTATTGAAATAGTTTAGTAAACTTGTCTTGTGAATGAAAATATATTGAACTAATTTTCATCTAACTTTGAAGGATGCTGATTGTCTAACTCACATGTATATCATCTAGATAACAGTAATGCTAAGGCATAGCAAATCCCCCTCGCTGTCATGACTATCAAATTTTACAAAATCACTTCACTACTTTTTAAGTTATTGCAAAATCATTTGAAAAAATTTGATTGGGTCAAGTCTTGGATTTTACACTTCACCTTGCAATCATCGCAATTATAAAGGAAGGAAGATGTGTCTGGAAGGAAGAAATCCTTCAATGGGAAAATAATCTGTTTTGATTTTATATTTTTGATTTGATAGAGAAAATGCAATCAGACATTACAGGATGTGTTTTAAATAATTAAGTCGATAAGCATAACTTAAAAAAACTCTGATTACAGTTAGACTCAGTCTATCTAGTTTGATTAGAGTCTGCTTTGAAGGATGTGTCTAAAGAAACTTTATTAATCCATTAATCCATAAACAAAACAAAAATAATTCGGCAAGGCAAAACAAACCTTATTACAGAGAGACTCTCAGTTTGATTAGAGTCTGCTATAAAGGAAGCATCCTATGTAATTTAAATTATTCCATACACAGAACTTGATAAATAATTTGCCAAAGAAAATCTCTCATATTTTCCTCCAGATTTTTCCAAGTTGAGAGTTTTGAAAAACAAGCCCTGCTTTTGGTTTTTATTTTTTAATCATGAGCACATATTATTTAAACTGAAAACACTTTTCAGTGCAAATGCTCTGCCCTAGTGAATACAGTAAAACCATGGACTTTCAATCTATTGAATGCCTATGGTAAAACAAACTAAATAAAAATGAAATAAAAAATTCTGAAAATATTATTTGCAGTTTTATATACTTGCTATTTGAGATTTCTCAGCACTTATTGAAGTAATTGAATAAAGAAATAAACCCTCAAAAATCTGAAAACACTTTTTAAATTTTAACTCCCCCACAAGATGAAAATAGATATAACAGAAACTAGGACCACTTGTATGAACCCTTTTCTGGTCAAGCATTTTAATTAGCCGTTCAGCCGATATAATTAGCTGTTCAGCCGTTTTAATTAGCTGTTTAACCGTTTTAATAGGCTGTTCAAGCATTTTGATTTTCTTAAACCCATGATAATATCAATATGTAGTAGGTATTGCTGTGTTGAGCATTGTTATAAAAAATATTTGCCAAGAAAGAACATGGTAATTAAATCTGTTGTGAATAATGTGTTTCACACATAATATACAGTCAATATCAAAATACTCCTCTTGTTTGTATTTTTTAAATTTTAGTGAGTCATACTCTTGATACTTGGTGTTAACTACACATGGATACATTTGAAGACCCATTTTGCTGGGGGGGGGGGGGGGCTGGCTACTGGCCTGTTCATTGTATATAAACCTTTGACGGGGTCCTAAGCTAAACCCTCCGATATCAATATGTTACCAAACCAAGCTATTTGTATATCATGGGTGTAGCAATAATCCACCTACCTTGACAAAATTTTACTGAAATTATTCAGATGTTTTCCAATTGAAACTGTGAAAATTAAGTCTGCTGCCTGAATGCATTATTACTATAAAAACATTTTCACTAAATAAAGCAATCAACTTGTGATTACATGTTTGTATTATTTTGTACATCATATCCTGCTTCTTTTGATCATACATGTATATCAGTCTAATCATGAACAAAAACCATTGTGTCTTATCTTGTGATTTTGTCAAGTTTAAAGGAAATCTTAATATTTTCCTTGGTCAATTTCTTAAACAAATTGGAATTTTGCTCAATTCTTTTCATAATTAACATTAAAGATACATTGTTTTGGCAATCAGTTAAAGGGAAATAAACACTGGATATGGTACTTTTAATTGTGTAAATAATGTAAATGACAGAGAACATAAATTATCATATGCCATTGAGTGGAAAACTAGTCTGGTATCGCATTCCTAAATCCGTACTGGAGAAAGAAATATATGAACATGAATTTAGTAATTTACTATAATAAACATGCATGTATGCTAGCAGAAAAAATATCCTAATATACTGTTGTTGAATAGAGGTAGATTCAAATCCTTACTTAAAGTTAATTTTAATTCAGGTAAAATGATTACTTTTTTGGAACGATACCAATTCAGGATGGTTGCAGGGCTTGAACTATGTAATCATTGAACAAAACGTATTGCAACCATTTACATTTCAATGTGAAATGGTTGCAGTTTACAATGGTTGCAGATTACAATGATTGTATAGGTTGCGAAGTCGTTGAAAAAGAGTTGACTTTGTTTGGTTGAACGCAATGGTTGCACAATGATTGCTTATCACCGTACAATGGTTTTTCCTTTGATCTTAGTAGCTGAAACAATCAATATTCAATGATTGGTGGAAACGGTTTAAATTCGGACTTTCAAGGTTGGATTTTTTATAAGGGTACGTGCGCGAACTTTTTGCGACGTGTCTATATAAAGTTCCATCATTTATTTTTCTTTTAGCGGGGGAATATTTCCTGATTTGTTAAAGGTAGTCAAAATAACTCTAATATACAAATGGGGATGTCAAAACGTTTCTTATTATCGTCCAATATTTCCGTTTAATCAGTATTTTCAAAACTACTTGAAAGATGTATGCATACCGGGCTTATGATTTTTTTCAAAAAAGAAGTTATCTTTAAGAATTTATTAGAATTCCATAAATAAATCTACGTCAACAGATCTAGTCAATCTAAGTCAACAGATATCAGTCATTTTTGTGTTGTACACTCCCCTCAAAATGTTTGGCAACCTAAGATCCCTCATTGAACTACATGTTAAAGCCTCTATATATTTGAATTTTTATTTACTTGACCTGTGAGGAAAATACATGATTGAAATGTAGCTTGACTTCATTTTCAATGCCTTCAATTTTTCCCAATTTTTTTTGTTCGTTTTTTGAAAAATAATTTTGACTTTGAAGATCTTTTTGAAACCTGAAGAAATGTATCAATTTTTTATTATTACCACCTTGACGGGCCAGTTCTAGTGGTTTTAGTGCTAGTTTAGAAGACATTCATTTTACTATATCGACCTGAGCAATATGTGACGGCATAGTGGTGGTCAAAATAGCCGGTCAAGAATGCTTTTAACGACCGGCAATTTTCTTTCTGTGTCAGTCCATGGTCATTAACGGTGGTAATAATACTTATAACCACATTAGTAATGATACCACTAACGTCATTTATTCGGCCAGAATAGTGAAATGGTGAAACATTGTATTCCATTGAAAAATGGGCGTCGCCCATAATGTTATTCAATGGGATGGAAAAAATGGCCAACGGACCAGTTTTAACGTCATCCGATTTTGTTGAAAAAAAATCAGTTAACTACCAGCACCATTTGTAACACCATGTTAAAGGGCCGTTGTAATCCGAGAACATTCTTAAAATATGAAACACTCTAGTGTACCGCTCCCAATTTACCCTTTTGGGACCCAAATCCTATTACATTATGGTTTAACAATATGCCATACATTGGTGTTGTTGCATCATTGCTCAAATCTAGAGGAGTGTTTTTGCATCTTCGGTTTGGTGTTGTTGCATCAATAGTGAGGAACTGAAACCGTGAATTAATCGCTCCTTGATGATGCTACATGTATACCAATGACAGTTTTAAAACATAGATCGCGCACGAACTGCACGTGTATGGTTATTGAGAAACTCGTCTTAGAAATGGGTTTAAATTGGGAAAACAAAATATCTTACGAAAATCTACCACCGGAAGGCTGGCCATCTTGATGCAACAACACGGTGTTGTTGCATCACGATACCCCCAAGGGAAAATCGAGAATTTTTGCCATGCTGAAACGAAGACATGTCTTCGTTTCCAGTTCATCCCCATGTATCAGTATTCTATGTATCAGTTCTGAAGATTTGAAATGAAACTAGTACTGAATTATCTTTTCACGTTTCTTAATTTTTTATACAATTTTAATGTTTATTTCCTGTACTGTGCATTTTTACATAATTTTATCTATATATATACAGTATTTTATTGCATAAGATGAGTAAAGGGTTGTGTATTCAATTTACTAGTGAATTGTAGCAGTAGGCTATAGATACAACTTACCTTTACATTGACAGATGCCATGATTGACTATACAGATAATTTGATGCAGAAACGAACCGATTTTCAGTTTCCTATTTCTATGTGTCTATGACTCTCCTTTATTTTTTTTTATCAAAGTTTGTATTGATGGATCTACTTTTTTCTTTTGTCCCAATTAGTCACCGAATATTTTTTTTGACCAACATGATTTCTCTGTCCTCGGGATGCCTGAATATTGTTTTTGGTTGTTGGTTAGCCTTGCCCAAGTCGGTATTTTTTACTTATCCGATCTTGATCTTATTACCGCCTTGTACAATCTAATGCACCATCGCTGATATTATGATAGTTATTCAGCGGTTTCGAGATTACGCTTTCAGGAGTATCGCGAAACCTTTATATTGATTTTACAATATCGCATGGACACGACGTGTGACTTCAGGCAGATTGACCAATCAAAACTTGCCCTTCGGGCTGCATGGAATACACCCTCAGAAATATATACAGTAGAAACAGAATTCAATATTTGTAGAGCATTAATTTGTGCAACCATTTGTAAAGGTAGAGATTTAGTACGTAAATATTTTTCATATAATCACTTTACTGTTCTGTTAGGCTATAGCTCCTTGTCTTGGCAATCTTTTCATCTTAATAAGCCCATTGGCCTTTTTTCACGATTGGTGTGAATGAAGGTTATTTGCGTTTTTTTCACTAGACCTAATAATTAATTGTATTTAGCAAGAAACCCGATTGAACCTTTTATTGAAATGCCAACTTGAAAATATTCGAAGTAAAAGGAACCGGATTTAGTCGATGGGATCCTGAATAACAAAATACTCGAAATACTTGTTTTTGTGTTTCAATTCAATTGAATTGCATGCTTTGTGCGAATGGCAGTTATGTGAATTTGTGATGGGAGTTTGTACTACGACGTAAGAGCCATTTAATAGGATCAGATAATTTAATCGAGTTGCTTATGTAACTTCACCATTTACTGTTTTTGTTTACAATCGCATGAGATGTATGAGGCTTAACTGAGAATCATAATTAATAAACATTAGTTCTGTAAAGAAAATTGATTACATTAAATTATTTAAGATTTGGGATGAAAGTGCCCCGTCCATATTCATATTTGATTGGAAATATTTACTGCATTGGTTAAATATAGTCGTTTTCTATCAAGTTAGGTCAAAACATTTATATACTGGCTGTACTAATTCCCCAAAACGTTCTTTCAATGATTTCATCGATTTCAATCATTTGCATAAAGCCAATCAGCTCAGCGGAAATTATCGATTTTCTTGTCTTTGTGGAAAGGTAAATACAAGCATCATCACGCGTAACCATCGACAACGTACAGTGACAACACATACCGTCGTACACTTTGGATGTACGGTGTCACTATTCTAAATGTTGTGAAGCCGAAACTATGACGTGGGTGTGATTTAGGTTTTAAAAATTAATCTGAGGAATACTTAAAGGATTTCTTAATTTTGTGTATATTTGATTCGGAAGACATTTACCTTTCTAATTGCGTTAAAAGATTTTCGAGCAGTGAATGGGTACTCTTGGAATGATTAATGGAGTCTAGTATAATTGTATCATCCATACAGAAAACATGATAGAGATTAATAGTGACATTTTTATTATTAAGCGGAAAATATGGTAAAAAAGATGTCTAGATATTTTTAATTAAGAAAATGTATTTAGATTTTAAACTATAATAGTATTACCTGATAAATCATAAGTACATGGTGGGTAACAGTGTTTTTTGGATTTCGCAGATATATTGATTCAGTGTATTGAATGTTTTGAAATGTTATATTGAATGTAGTAAATGTATCGAATAATTGTGTTAAATAAATAAATAAAATAAATGTATCATCCAAAACAGATGTGTATTGGAGGATTCATGATTATAAGACACCCTTTTCTGGAAAAAAACATATTAAATGAAGACACAAACTTTGTCCTATAGTGAGGGCATCGGAGAAGAACTGTACATGTAAAATTGTATGAACGTATCTTGCCCATTTCTTAAGTTATCGCTTTTGACATAAATAAAATAATTCAAAATGATTTGCGGCTAATAATTTCAAACGATAGCGTTGACTCTATTTACATTTTTATTTTTACAATTCAATACTAATATCCAAGGAAACATGTTTATTGTTTGTTTGACACACACAGATGTGATAAATAATGTCTTATTTGAAATTAAACCAGACTTATTGAACGATTAACGAAAATATGTTAATTCTTTATTCCTTTGAAAATTGCTCAGGTTACGAAATGCCAATATAGTTCCAATGATGCCGCTTACTAATTTATAAAATATGATGTGTTTACTCTACAATTCAAGAAAAATCCATCGTCATATGAATATTATAATTTTTGAATTTTGTATTTTTTGAAATCAATTATCGTAAATTGGCCCTTATGCAATATGTCACCACCTGCCATTCGTTACTCGAACGTCGGACGATTAACGATGTGTCACCACTTGTGGTGGTGACTTAATAAACCAAAAATGCAAGACCATGATTGGGAATTTTCATTCGTACAGGATATTGCATTTTACAAGTTAAAGAACAAGAAAGTGTGTAAAATGATACAATATTTTATTTTATAATATAAAAACAAACGAAAATACAATGATAAAATATATAAACAAAGATTTTCCTACTATTATGATGATACATTACGAGAGACACAGAAGCGTCTCAGAAACTGCTGGCATTGCGTGAAGAACATTTGTTGAAAATCTTATATCATCATCATGATCATCATTTATATACAGAATGTGTATACATTGTTGCATATGGTTTGTAATATACGTTATAGAATAATTTGAAGTGCAATGTAGGATATATTGTGCTCGAGAAACTGCATTAGCACGAGACAAAGTCGAGTGCCAATACTGAATATTGAGAGCACAATGTATGCTGTATTGCGCTTCAAATCACTCTTTAACGTTTTTTTCATGTGATCTTATTAGGCCAATACATTTAATTAGGAGATAATCCATAGAAAATATACTGACTTGCTCTGAGTATGTCCCATCCGTGCCAATATTTTCTTTATTGCAACGGAGATGAACAATGGGGACAATCTCAGTAGCAATGTTAATACAGATTGGTACAGCACAAGAACTGACCAATCAGAAGGCTGCATTTTACAGATCATACGATAAATGGTTATATAGTTCTATCAAAACGTATATAGTAGAACTTATGAATATTGAACATTTTTTGTCGAGAAAAACCCGTTAAGTGTTGGTAGGCGTTCACCAGCAGAGTATTGTGCGGAGGAAGAATGTCCACTAGAGACAGGTGTTCACTCGAGGAAGGTGTTCACTAAAACAGGTTTTACTGTATATACGTTTGTCACTGCTCTTATGTACACAATTTACAAGAAATATTATATTAGTGCCGTCACTTTTTACAAACATGATTTCATTTATTATACATTTTCCAATTGGCATGTCTTCATTTTGATAGTTTTCAAATATGGCATCATATTTTCGTAATGACACCATTCACAACTGCATGTTTTTAATTTGACAATATCATACACAATTGGCACATCACACGTTTTCATTATGACAATATGCTCAACTGATGATGTTTCACAACGGCATTATTTACAATTCGCATATCGCATGTTCTCACAATGACAATATTCAAACTTTATATGTTTTGAATATGCCAGTATTGACAAATGGCATCTTTTCTTTATTACAATTGGCATATGATTTTTATAATGAATATACTAACAACTTGCATCATGATAACATTCACGAATGACATGTTGTACTTTTTTTTTATATATATCACAATTTTAATAAATACGTTTTCATGATGACAGTATTTGCAACTGACATATCCACGAATGCCATGTTTTCATGATGAGAATTTTCACATATGAATATTTTATGCGACGATATTCAAAACGGGCGTATTTCCTATTAAAGAATACCTTCTTATCTGGTTGGTAATATAACAATTTTCATTAGGATGGCATTCATAATTAATGTTTCCATTTTGACTGTATTCCTAACTAACATGTATTCATTATGATAATATTCTACACTTACATATCATTTTGATATACATATATATTATATTACATATATTTAACTACCCAGCTGTTTTCCGTATGACAATATTTACAAAGTACTTGTTGTCATTTTGACGAAATTCACAAAGTTTACATTATAGATAATTATTTCCAAAGTAACAATATTTACAACTGATATGTTTCACAATATGACATTTTCACAATATCCATGTTTTAAGTAATTAAACTATTCACACCTAATAAAAAATTGCCAAAGGTACAAAATTCTTAAACACTAACGTGTATCCAATACTGTATTGTAAAATGAACGTTTACCATGTAACTGTATTGTAATTGTTTTTTGCAATTGCTTTAACATGTTTTTGAAATAAAAATCTTTCAAGACGACAATATTTACAATTGGTATAATTTCTGTCACAACGGGGTGGTTTCATTTCTCCATATATTTTTAAATTGACATGTTTCCATTTTGGCAACAATCAAAACTGACATGATTTCATTATGACAATATTCACAACTGGCATATTTTACATATGGCATATTCACAACCAACATGCTTTCATTATGATGATATTCACAGCTGGCATATTTTGCATATGGCATATTCGCAATCGACATGCTTCCATTATGTCAACATTCAAAACTGACATGCTTTCATTATGACACTATTTCACAACTGGCATATTCCACAAATGACATATATTCGCAACTGATAAGCTTTCTTTAAGACAATAATCTCAACTGACATGTTTCTATCTTTATTAACAAATGTAGTTTCCATTATGACAATATTCACAACAGGCATATTTTAAAACGACATTCGCAACTGACATGCTTTCTTTAAGACAATAACCTCAACTGACATGTTTCTATCTTTATTAACAAATGCAGTTTCCATTATGGCAATATTCACAACAGGCATATTCCACAAATGACATTCGCAACTGACATGCTTTCTTTAAGACAATAATCTCAACTGACATATTTCTATGTATATTAACAAATGTAGTTTCCATTATGAAAATTATTTTATATTATGACATTATCACAACTGGTATATTTTACAAACGACATTTGCTCCTGACATGCTTTCTTTGAGACTATAATCTCAATTGAAATGTTTCAATATTCAATATTCACTGACACCGAGTTGTTTGCAAAATGAATCGGGGGAGTTTTTTCATGCATTTCGGTTGTGTTTTTCATCTAAAAAACTTCAATACACTTAAAAACATTTTATTGACTATAAGATTGCACCATATAATCCCCAAAATAGTTATCACTTTCAAAGATAATCTATGGATTGACACTCAGGTATTGTTATTTTTCAAACTTCAGAGAGCTGAGCTGAGAATCATTGATTACGGATGTGCTTATATAATATAAATCCTGTTTTAAATAGCTTTTATGTATGTTAATAATTTCTCAAATTATGTAAATGGTACCCATTCCTTTATCCCTAGAATTTTCTTTTTGAGGAATTTCCCCTAGTAATCTAATGGTATATTTCCAAGTAGATTTTGAGATAACAGGAAAGTTTGATCATTAATACACACCTTATTGTTTTTTGGTTTATATCACGAAATCCCTTTCAAAATATTTTATACCAAAAATCTAACCAGAATTTTTGAATCGCCAGTCTCTTGTTTTTTATGTAAACCTGATAGTGAATTGACGTTTAAAAACTTAAGATGGACTCGTCAGAAATAAAAATTTTCGAGGTTTTGAAAGTTTCAGGGTTTGATCTAAGCTGTAAAATACAGTACGTATAAAAAAACGCAACAAATTGTTATCACGGAAAAGCACAAAACCAGTGATAACAGCATTGACTTCATTCAATGCACCATAAAACCATATGTCTCCTATTTACAATGATATATCATTCATTGATATTTGGTCATGGTTGGGCGAGTAATCATTCCATTTGCAAAGTGGGCCAAAATTAGCTTGGGACTAAGTTATAAACATTGCAAAAGTCAGTACAAGGGGCATAGGGGCTCCAAGAAGGTGTGACAGGTGTGGCATTGATAGTAAAGGGCTCATACTCTTGCAAGAATACACCCTATACCCCTCCAAATTGCCACCACTTCCTTGCACATAAGGATGCGCTCATCCGTCCACGCCATGCATGGTTCAGCCCTGAGTCATATATGGGTTAAAGCAGAAAAACAGCCCATGGGCAATGCTTTCTGTAGGTTTAGCAATGTCTAATAAAGGAATTGTGAGCACAGATGCTCCTGAGATAGCTCCGAAAGAAAAAATCACAACACTTCAAGTCAGTTGGAACTTCCATTGGCACTTAGCCCTTGCACTGATTTTTGCAATATCTAAAACTTGGTCCAGAGCCGATTTCGACCCACTGTGCAAATGGAAAGATTTATCACCCAACCATTACCACATGTGAATGAATGACATATCATTGCAAAGAGGAGAGACGTAGCTTTATGGTACTTTGGATGGAATTGATGTAGTCATCACTAGTTTTGTGATTTAACGAGATAACTACTTGTTGCATTTTTTTGATACGCCCTGTATAACAAAGTAGCTCACTGTAAAAAATTGCACATAGCAAATGTTCTACCTGTTTGCTGTGTACATGTTCTTTTGAAAAACGAACCGACTCGTACTTATTGTCAAAAAGTTGAGCTTAGACCATGATTTACATAAACAAATATTCATGTTTCAATTCATCACCTTATTTCACCCACATATTATCTCTGGTGCTTTCACTTGGTCGACCAGAGCAACTTTATTGTCTTGTTTTCAGAAGGTAGAATACGATACATAAAAGAATAATGATAATTACACAAAACGCAGAAGTTGCACATGCTATGACAAGGACTATGGAATTATTATGTGCTGCTATGTGTGTTGGTTGACCGGATGCATTTGTTGGTTGACTGGATGCCTGTGTTGGTTGAATGGATGGCTGTGTTGGTTGAGAAGATGCTTGTGTTGGTTGATTGGATGACTGTGATAGTTGAGAAGTTGCCTGCGTTGGTCGAATGGATGGCTGTGTTGGTTGAGAAGATGCTTGTGTTGGTTGATTGGATAACTTTGTTAGTTGAGAAGTTACCTGTTTTGGTTGAATGGATGGCTGTGTTGGTTGAGGGGATTCCTGTGTTGGTCGAAGGGATGGCTGTGTTGGTTGAGAGGATGCCTGTGTTGGTCGAATGGATGGCTGTGTTGGTTGAGAGAATGGCTGTGTTGATTCAGAGGATGCCTGTGTAGGTTGAGAGAATGGCTGTGTTGGTTGAATGGATGGTTGTGTTGGTTGAGAGGATGCCTGTGTTGGTTTAGTTGATGCCCATGTTGGTTGAATTGATGCTTGGGATGTTTGAGTGTACAATTGTGTAGATGGTACATTGATGTCTTCTGTTAAGAAAATTGAAGATGAAAGGGTTATTTCATAGTTTCTTGAGCATAGGTCATTGTCCCTTATTGCAGTTATATTATTGATATATTCATCTGACACAGACGTTATATCATTTCCAATCAAGCTTAAAGCATTAAGATTTGGCAAGTACTGGCATATATCGGCCGGCATATGTTCAAGATTATTGTTAGACAGGTCTAAGTCTTCCAGTAATTGCAAAGAAGAAAATGTATCCGATTCTATTTTTGATATATTATTACCAGACAGATGCAGTATTAGCAGTGATGTAAAATTACCAAACATACCATGTGTCAATATTGTCAGTTTATTGTTAAACAAGGTTAATTGTTCCAATGATTGCAAACCAGAAAAGACATCCGATTCCATTTTAGATATTTTATTGTCATTTAGCTTCAGCCATGTCAGTGATGTAAGACTACCAAACATGCCCGTTGTCAATATTGTCAGTTTATTGTTACCCAAGTGTATTCGTTCCAATGATTGCAAACCAGAAAAGGCACCCGATTCTATATTAGATATATGATTAAAAGATAGACTCAGCTCTGCCAACGATTTAAGAATACCAAACATACCATGTCTCAATATTGTCAGTTTATTGTTAGACAAGTATAATTGTTCCAATGATTGCAAATCAGAAAAGGCACCCGATTCCATTTTAGATATATCATTTGCGTATAGATACAGCCTTTTCAGTGATGAATGATTTCCAAACATACCATGTGTCAATACTGTCAGTTTATTGTTAAACAAGGTTAATTGTTCAAATGATTGCAAACCAGAAAAGACACCCGATTCTATTTTAGATATATCATTGCCCGTTAGATCTAGATGCGTAAGTGATGTAAGCTTACTAAACGTCCCAGTTGCCAAAATTGTCAGTTTGTTGTTATACAACCATACTATATCCAATGATTGCAAACCAAAAAAGGCACCCGATTCTATTTTAGATATATTATTGTCATTTAGATACAGCCATGTCAGTGATGTTAGATTACCAAATATACCATGTGTCAATATTGTCAGTTTATTGTTAGGCAAGTATAATTGTTCCAATGATTGCAAATCAGAAAAGGCACCCGATTCTATTTTAGATATATCATTGCCCCTTAGATCCAGTACTGTCAGTGATGTAAGATTACCAAACATACCATGTGTCAATATTGTCAGCTTATTGTTAGAAAGGTATAATTGTTCCAATGATTGCAAATCAGAAAAGGCACCCGATTCTATTTTAGATATATTATTGTCATTTAGATACAGCCATGTCAGTGATGGAAGATTACCAAACATACCAATTGTCAACACTGTCAGTTTATTGTTAAATAGGGATAAACGTTCCAATGATTGCAAACCAGAAAAGGTACCCGATTTCATTTCAGATATATCATTATCATTTAGAAACAGATGTGTTAGTAATTCAAGATTACCAAACATACCATTTGCCAATACTGTCAGTTTATTGTTAAATAAGGATAAACGTTCCAATGATTGCAAACCAGAAAAGGTACCCGATTTTATTTCAGATATATCATTATCATTTAGAAACAGACGTGATAGTGATTTACGATTACTAAACATACCATGTGTCAATACTGTCAGTTTGTTGTTTGGCAAGTATAATTGTTCCAATGATTGCAAATCAGAAAAGGCACCCGATTCTATTTTAGATATGTCATTGTCCCCTAGATCTAGATGTGTAAGTGATGTAAGCTTACTAAACGTGCCAGTTGCCAGCACTGTCAGTGTATTGTTATACAACCATAATATATCCAATGATTGCAAACCAGAAAAGGTACCCGATTTTATTTCAGATATATTATTATCATATAGATACAGACCTGTTAGTGAATTAAGATTACTAAACATACCATGTGTCAATACTGTCAGTTTATTGTTATTCAAATCTAATCGTTTCAATGATTGCAAATCAGAAAAGGCACCCGATTCTATTTTAGATATATCATTGCCCCTTAGATCCAGTACTGTCAGTGATGTAAGATTACCAAACATACCATTTGTCAATATTGTCAGTTTATTATTAGAAAAGTATAAATATTTTAATGATTGCAAACCAATAAAGGCACCCGATTCTATACTAGATATATCATTCCCATATAAATTCATCCATATCAGTGATGTAAGATTACCAAACATACCATGTGTCAATATTGTCAGTTTATTGTTAGAAAAGTATAAATATATTAATGATTGCAAACCAGAAAAGGCACCCGATTCTATACTAGATATATGATTTGAAGACAAGTATAATTGTTCCAATGATTGCAAATCAGAAAAGGCATCCGATTCTATCTCAGATATATCATTTCCATGTAGATATAGCAATGTCAGTGATGTTAGATTACAAAACATACCATGTCTCAATATTGTCAGTTTATTGTAAGACATGTATAATTGTTCCAATGATTGCAAATCAGAAAAGGCATCCGATTCTATCTCAGATATATCATTTCCATGTAGATATAGCAATGTCAGTGATGTTAGATTACCAAACATACCATGTGTCAATATTTTAAGTTTATTTACATCCAATTTTAACTTTTCCAATGATTGCAAATCAGAAAAGGTATCAGATTCTAACTTATCTATTTCGTTGTTGTGTAGCCAAAGTTCTACCAGTGATTTTAGATTGCTAAACATGCCCGTTGTCAATATTGTAAGTTTATTGTTAGACAAGTATGTTTTTTCCAATGATTGCAAATCAGAAAAGGCACCCGATTCTATTTTAAATATATTATTGTCATTTAGATCCAGCCATGTCAGTGATGTAAGATTAAGAAACATACCATGTGTCAATATTGTCAGTTTATTGTTAAATAAGTATAAACGTTCCAATGATTGCAAACCAGAAAAGGCACCCGATTTTATTTTAGATATATCATTATCATACAGAAACAGATGTGTTAGTGATTTAAGATTACCAAACATACCATATGTCAGTATTGTCAGTTTATTATGTGCCAAGTTTATCTCTTCTAATAACTGCAAACCAGAAAAGGCTCCTGTCTCTATCTCTGCTATCTCATTGTAATCAAGCGTGAGACGGGTGGTGCTAGGAGCAGATTTAAACATGTCTGCTGTTACATCAGTCAGCTTCCTCCGAGCCAAGTCAAAGGTAGAACCATGGGTTATTGTGGGATCGATCGCTTGGTGTAGGATTATCATCACCAGTGACTTCAACATCAACTTCTGAAATGTTTTAATATGAATATTAATTGTTATTTGTGACGATTTGGCAGATTGAATTCTCACCTATAAATTGCCGTGTTGTATAACAATTATGCCTTCTGAATATATAAACATCTAGTGCCTCTATAACATTCAAATAGATGTACAGGGTGGTCCAAAAAGAGAACCTCTGCAACAGGCTGTATTTTTCTTATAATTAATACATGCATGAATTGGCTCATATTTCTCATAGAAAAAGGTCTGTTGTTCTAACATTTATTCCCAGTCTGATTTTGAAGAAATTACAAGACTTAAGCAAGCATACCTAAAATAGATATTGTGCATGTGATTGACGGAAATTGTTGAAACACATTGGATGATCTTAAAATATCTTTCAGTGAGAGATATAAGTTAAAACCCAAGTATATGACAAATGGGGACACTTTCATTGACCGTTTTGAAGCAGTTTCAACTATTCAACATTTAAGGGGCATGTTCACTACACAAACGGTTAGAGGGGGGGGGGGGTGGGCAAAGTGACCCCCTGTGACCAAAAATCTGAGAAGCCCTTCATATAAATATCCAACACAAATCAAAAGGGTTAACTTTGAGTTGAGATATGAAAGTTCAACTGGTCAACGTACATCGGGTTGACAACGTACAGTTTTTGAATTGTAGCCAACACGTTAATATTTACCAAATCTTCTGCCGAACTTGATTGTGTAACTAAGAGAAACATATTCTCATAAAAATGATAAGGCGACATGGGAAAAATGATCAAAGGAAATGTGGAAAACAACATTTTCCAACCTATCAATTTTTGCGGTTAGATTTATAAATTAGTACGAAAAAAATCGAGCACTGCTCGAAAATCTTTTAACATAATCAGAAAGCCTAAAGTCTACCCAAGCGAATATACTAGTATGCGAATTTAAACATAAAATCCTCTGTGTAATCTTTAGATTAAAGGGGGGCGAGTTGTTTGTATAATGAATCGGGGGATTTTTTCATGAATTTCGCTTATGTTTTTCATCCAAAAAACATCAATACACTTTAAAACATTTTGTTTACTTTAAGATTACACCATGTAATCCAAAAATATATTTCTCGTTTTCAAAGATAATCCATGGATTAACACCCAGGTATTTTTATTTTTCAAACTTCAGAGGGCTGGGAATCATTGATGCTCAACGCTTTTGAATACGATAAATGCTGTTTTAAATAGGTTTTACGTATGCCAATAATTTCTCAAATTATGTAAGCTGAATGCATTCCATAATCCCTAGAATATTCTCTTGGTTCTCTTGGCATGGTAATCGAATGGTAGTTCCAAGCAGATTTTTAGATGGCAGGTAAGTAAATTCTCTAGTACTCGCCTTATTGGGTTGCGTTAGTTTATATTCAAAAATTATATATGATTATGTAAAGATGTCAGTGTGGATGCTATATAGATTGCACACGTATGGTAAGCTGTATAATCCTATATTATGTTACTCAAGTACAGTTTTGGTTGACATGATCACACTACTATACCTAACACCTAGAAATGCATAAGATACTTTGTTTGTCTAATTGAATTGTTTAATATATTTTTGAAAGTGCCCTACTAGCATCTAATTTTCAACCGATAAACCATTCATAAGGAACAGACAAATAAAAACAAATACATAATCATTACTAATAAGCCAAATGGGTTGCTCATGAACACCAAATGCAAGGTATAGTAGTGTGATGATTGTGACTGAGTGAGAGATTAAACTCTTTAAGGTAGTTCTGCATGTTGATAATTTTTACTAATTTTCGTGATGAATAAATTATCTGTTAATTATAAATTGGGCAATATTTTTGACATTTTAAGTGGATATAAAGAATTATGGTAACATACACATGGACCATGCATACACATACAATTACAAATGTGAAAATATCGTCCCTTTCATTGATTATAGGTATTTATAATCATGAAAATTAGTGGAAATATCGAGACATATCTACCTTAAAATCAGATCGGTTTACAAGTACCCTAAGCTATTTTCACATTTTTATTGCAAGAAAATCTTTTTGCAAGGGTTACAAAGGTTGAAATATTGTGCTGGCTCTATTTGGCTGGAGTTTAATATTCAGACCTAGCTATATCAATCACATTGTACATTATAATGAACATAATAAATAAAACCATGAATGTTGTTCATAAATCAAACTGGAAACACAATCTTCATCAACATCAATTATGGATGGAAAGGCAGTACTTATTTATAAGACATTTATTGTAATTGTATGATATCGTATTTGTGATTTGAATATACACTGTGATATTTGAGAAAAAGAATGTTTTGTTTTAGTTTCATTGCAATGTATAACCCTAATATCTTAAAGCCAGAATCCTCCCTTGTCTTCCAATTTTCTAAAAAGTTCCTACTTTAAAAAAAATACAATTTTCCATGATCATTTTTGTGTCACCACCACAAGTGGTGACATATTGTTATGGTCTCAAACTTTTTTGTGGACGGTGTTCGGTGGTTGGTGTTTATCATTTGGCAGTTGGTGTTTGGCAGTTGGTGTCTGTAACAAATGGCAGGTGTTGACATTTTGCATGTGAATGCCTTGTCTTATAATGTAGCCAACTGCAATGGATGTAAAACGGATACAGTCAACTAATACATTTCTTGGCATCAATTCAAATCATTTGCTAATTTTAAATGAAAATGCTTTTTTTCATGTTTTACCACTCATAAATGCCATAATATCTCGATGTCACATTCAGGAAAATATGGCTAACAACAAGTTTTGAATTCTTACAATCCTGGAAGTTGTACATGGAAGCATACACATCTGTCAGTTCAGTTTATGTGTAAAAGTTAATCCCCTAAGCCTTAATACCTGATCCATGAAATATTATGGATGAGTTACATAATATGTACTTGTGCTATTTAGGTTAATGTTGTGCTGTTTCACCAGATTTGACTGACATCTTTAAATAACAACAATTTGATTTTATTTGATGATCAGACAGCAACAAAACATATAAGGTGGCCAAGACAAAAGAATGTTATATGATAGGCATTCTAGGGATTAAGGAATGCATTCAGCTTACATAATTTGAGAAATTATTGGCATACGTAAAACCTATTTAAAACAGCATTTATCGTATTCTAAAGCGTTGAGCATCATTGATTCCCAGCCCTCTGAAGTTTGAAAAATAAAAATACCTGGGTGTTAATCCATGGATTATCTTTGAAAATGAGAAATATATTTTTGGATTACATGGTGTAATCTTAAAGTAAACAAAATGTTTTAAAGTGTATTGATGTTTTTTGGATGAAAAACATAAGCGAAATTCATGAAAAAATCCCCCGATTCATTCTACAAACAATTCGCCCCGCTTTTAAAAAACCTTCATCAAACCTACATCATAGTTATCGCTTCAATAGTGACACCCTACATCTAAAGTGTACGGCAGTATATTTTGTCACTGTACGATATCAATGGTCAGGCGTCTATTAACGATGTTATGAATTTATAAAGGAAAAAACTGTTAATCGCCAAGTATTTGCGAATCACATTCTCTTCATGAATTATAGAGAAAAACGTTTTTTTTATCAAAACATACTCAATGAATATCTTCGTTTTTTGCATATTTCTAAATGTCAAAACAAACTGAGTTGATACCATTTTCCAAATTTTAGATATATTTCTTTTTATTCTCCCCTAACCCCAATTTTTCAATTTCACTATTTCGATATTTGTGTCGTTGCTAGGTGGTTGCTAAGCAACATCATCGTCAGGAATTATGTTGAAACAATACCAAGCTAAACATTCATACATCTGCATACTAAATCACTTATTGTCATCTTGTATGAATACTAAAGTCAAAAACAAGCTGAACTTGGAATTGCTGACTATTCAATTTCACGTTACATTGACGTCAATGGGATTTTTAGCTGTTACCGCTATTTCAGTTTTATTTGAACTTAAATCCCACTTGGGTAGCAACACGATAAAATTTGCTGTGGTTTATTTTTAAGAATGTATGATTTTATCAAAAGGAAAGTGCATTATTTTTCTATTGTTTCTAAAGAATGAACACTTGGCAAGCTATCAAAAACAAGTGAGACATAAACGACCATAGTTCAACAAGTTAAACCTAGTCTGGGCCTTATTTCTTATCTGACATTTCGAGAAAGGGTCGATGGCAAACATTGACAAAACCCGGGTTTCTAAAACCCGTGCTAGAAATACGTACTGAAATAGTCTCGCAACCAGTGCTATTTACTGAACGAAACGACACGAAAACCCCGGGACAGCGTCCTATCAGAGTATTATGAATACGAAACACGTACTAAAATAGTCTCGCAACCAGTGCTATTTACTGAACGAAACGACACGAAAACCCCGGGACAGCGTCCTATCAGAGTATTTATGGATAGGACCCCCGTATGACCGACCATGCTATCAGTTTGAATATATCATTAAAAAACTTATGTAACAGGCCAGGACCCTCTACCAAAAATGCTTTCAAAACCATGCAGTTTTCACCATTCTGAGCACTTTTTCAAGGGTTTTGGGCCATTTCAAAAGTGAATCCCTTGGATTTTTATAAAAATGACCCCCCGTCAAATCCCGGCTACAGCCCAGATTTAAACTTAAAACAATAAAATGCTGTATAAAACCCAGGGGATATATCATCCTCCGACTCATTTATTCTGCATCCCTTGACCCGTACTTAAACTGAACGAAATGCAAAACACTCTAAACCCGGGATGTAGCATCCTTTTGGTATTCATGAATTGGATTAATTGCCCGACCTTCTACCTTTCTGTCAGTGTGAATTCATGCCGATATAGGCTCTCAAAATAGAATAAAATTTGTTCTCGAAATTCAAAGATGAATTGGCTATAGCAATTAGGAGTTGGAATCCTTATGTGTTCAAGTTTACGTGTTCAAAGGTATTTGGGATTAGATGAGGTTTTAATTAATGTTATAATTTCTGATAATAGCTGGCCTTGAACTACATTGAAGTA